TCTGTTGTTTTTTGTACGAAATGATTTTTTGACGTCATAGATCACGTTTCATCTTTTACATGTTACAGATCATGCCCTTTTAATAAAAGGAGAAAACGCAAAAAGACAGAAACAACTGAAATCTCTCAGAATACATTTGTAGTTGTATTATCTGTCTTTAAATTTGTGCTTTGTAACCTACAAAAGGAATGTTTAATTATGCACTATTAGAATTACTGAGAATTTAGTATTGCTTTTGAACAATATTGTAGTGAAATTGATCTTTAGTATGAAAACAAGTGCGTTTGTGCATATTTTGAAATTGGTCATGATGTCTTGACGATATGTCGTCATTAACAAATGCATTGTTTCTTGTCCTCCATATATGGAAAATGGTTACTTTGGGAGTTAACAGATGGCAGATGAACACAAGAGCTCAAGCGGGGGGAAGGGGGGGACTTCCATGTTTAGCTCGCTCCGATATGTGCCGCACTGTATGGTATAGGTTTATGGGATCTTCAATCTTAACAAAGGTATTCAACTTCACCATTTAGCGTCTTAAACAGGGTTACAATTTTAATGCGTTTTGCCTTAAACAGGGTCAGAATCGAAGGGTTTCAGCAGCAAAACCCCAAGCAAACTTCCTTTAAATCTCCCCACCCAGAGACGTTTCTTCCCTTATGCATAACGATATCTCGGCAAAACCGGTTAAAAACACACAAGAAAATTAAATATTTGCTTACACCTGACACTAAAAATACTGGAATCATAACATCCATCAAATTATTTAAATTCACACTTGCACGTAGTGTAGTTCAATTCTATTCTAGCATTCAAACATCATTTTCCTTTGAGGAACATAAAATTTAAACTGAGGACACAATTGAACCACAAGACACGTAATTGCACGACGCAAATAGAGCGGTTGAGAATTCAGCTGAAGAGGAGGAAATGAAATTACTGGAAAAATATTTTTGCTCGACAGAATTAATTGGACAAGTACACGACCATTTACTAATTCTTTTGGTTTCTCACATTGTTCTGTCGATTACAGCAGTTGTGGGAAACGCTCTAATTCTAGTTGCTCTCTATAGAGAATCTTCACTTCATCCGCCATCCAAACTGCTCTATCGCAACCTGGCGATAACTGATATATGTGTTGGTTTCACGGTGGATCCTCTTGGCATTATACGCTTCACGCCTATGGCGAACAAGCAAGAGCATATTTGCTACCAAGTATATAAGTGCAGTGTCATCATTAGCTATACTTTGTGTTCCGTGTCTTTGCTGACAATGACTGTATTAAGCTTGGACAGGCTTCTCGCCTTGTTGCTAGGACTCAGATACAGACAAGTTGTAACTTTGAACAGAACGTACGCAACAATAACCCTGCTTTGGTTGGTATCCACAATCAACGCAACTATGTACCTTTTGAATCCCCTAATCACTTGTTGGTCTGCCAATATAGGTATAGCACTGTGTTTAGTCACCTCAATCCTCGCTTACTCAAGAATTTTTCTCGCTCTGCGTCACAACCAAATCCAAGTACAGGGTCACGTTTCTCAGGCACAACAAAGACAAAGCCCAGCAATTCCACTTAACATAGCTCGGTATAGAAAAGCAGTTTCCAGTGTACTGTGGGTGCAAGTAACAGTGGTTGTTTGTTATCTGCCGTATGGAATAATGGAAGCCGTGACACTTCAAGAAGATGTATCTTTACCTGTTTACATTGCGAGCGAGTATACCTCTGCTCTAGTTTACTTAAATTCGTCGTTAAACCCGTTGCTGTACTGCTGGAAGATCAAAGAAGTTAGGCAAGCGGTGAAGAACACACTCGGGTTAAACTGCTGTTCATCAAGTTAACTTGACTGCGTATTTTAAATTGAAAGGCTTTGACATAAGGTTCAAACGCGATAGAATGGGGCAAGAGAAATGCCTTTCTGAGATCGTCATCATATAGATTAAAATCCAACTTCAGCTTTTGTACATAATTTGGGAGACAAGCCTTCTTTTTGATCAAAAAAGGATAATAATCTTTCGATTTCTTTTTTGCTATATCGAAAACGCCGCCATTGATTTTAAAGGAAGGTATTGCATTAGAGGTACTCGAATCCGAGCGATTAAGAACTTTTAAGTTGGTTGGTATTGAATGTCTCATACTAGTCCATTCAAGGAAGTTTGTCTTTTTAACATTTTTTGCGATCTGTTCGTAGGATTCCGTACTGCTGAGAACAAAATGTAAGTCTCCTATTTCCCAGATACCAATGTCGTAATATTTCTTGTAGAA